TTTTAAGAACGGTTCTAAAGTTGCGCGTGAATAGTGCGCAACTCACAACATGTGCGTAACTGTCGTCACTATGGAGAACAGGACATTCGTTTATGCAATAGAACGGAGCCCAACACACTAAAATCATACTATTATGTCAAAGACAGATCGAGAGATCACCGAAGAGAGACGAGTTTTATCCAGGAAGCGGTTATGTGCTTTGATAGACGAGTATGAAAAGTTTCAAAGAGAACTGAAGGAAAGACAGTCCTATATCAAAACGAAGCGGCGACGTTTATTTGGTCTAGAATCGTCACTTGTTGTTTTAATACAAAATGCACGGCAGCTGCGAGAACGACTCGACATCCTACAGAATGAAATCGACAAAGAAAAAGAAGCAGAAGCCAACAGATTGTGGCCTCACAATTTACGACGTTCGACCGGTTGAGAAGAAAATGTTTTGTTCGTCAGAGAGGTTCTAGGCGATCATCAAGTGTACATAGCTAGCTTTTGTTGTTCAGTATTAATGAATTGTCAATTGTCAGATAGATAACAACAGGCACCTTATATCACGATTTGAAGAAAAAACATGTAAAATAAATTGAAAGTCTATATAACTTGAATAACTTGATTTGAAATGTAATATAGCACACTACACTTTTGGCACAGCACAGATTACATTCAATATCCTATTGTGTATTATTAAGCCTCTATAGACAATGATGTAGTCATTGAAACAAAGATCATTTTAAGTGGGTGGACAGACGACCCGCATTTCAGCAGCAGAAAATGCAAATTAATTACCCTAATTTCATATTTCCAGAAGGTAAAACAAACCATTAAATTTACAATTTAATTATCATTTTATCTTTATTTTTATATTTTGGATTCACATAGTAAACATTATAATAATACATAATTATAATAATTATATATATATATATATATATATATAATAGATTAATAATAACAGTTAGCATACTTTGTTACATATTTACACAATCTATTAATATACCTAGATGTATTGATTTATTATATTATGAGTATTATTATCATTATCATTAGTTTAGACCTTTACTGTAAGGCCTAGATCATGTTTCTGACAAGCCTACAGAACACATCACTAGGCCTATTTTGAGTGATATGATTGTTATAAACAATAGGATTTGTGTAACAGCATACAGCAAATACATCCTAAAAACACCACAACAGTTTTCAAGCTCAGCTGATTTTATCAGTATAGGATTGCGTTGTTCTTGCTGAAAGATTTATAAGCCTGCATACATCCCGGCCTTACACACACGTTCTTTAATATAATCCACGAGAGAATTATCGTTAATATTATTACGTGTGTGTTCATTTTATACATGGTAAATTAAATTTGAACTGACTTCTTGAGGGGTTTTTGTTTTTGTGAAAGGCTCGTTAACGCAGGCCACGTGTGGTTCTATTGTTATACCAATGTCGGCTAGAATGTATTAAGCGAGGTAGAAACGGGCGATTAAGTCGATTGAAAACCAAGACAATATTTCTGCTTATTAATTCAAAATATCACGCGATGATATGCTAACAGGCATTTAGCAGCAGAAAGCATACGGTATCGGTTCGTTAGAATTTTTCGATCACTTAAAGCTCAGTGTTGTGTAAGTATTGTTGGTTCAATATGGCAATAGAGTTGAGGCAATTTCTAGGAGGAATAAACGTTGATGCACATTTCAATGGAAACACAAAGATTCGCAACGATTGCATTGAAGTAAAACGCGCCAAAAAACGCGCGCATCTGCACGTTCTAAACCGGTATTCACAAGTGACGCAGAGTAACTTAAAGCGCTACCAAATGATGTCTGAGTCAGCAGCAAGAATGATGTCGACTGGAAATAGAACAGAAAACCACGAATTATTAGATTCAATTCGAATCTCGCCAGAACAGGAAAAAATTCGGCAGAGTTACAGTCGTTTAAATCAACGATTGGACGTGGTGGACAAAAGGTTGATAGGGTTACGGCATCAATGCCGCTCTTACGATGAGCGACTTGGAGAGGCATTTATAAGGGTTACATCCATTGAAAATAGTTTAGCTGCTCTTAAACATTCGTTTTCAAAAATGCATATTGATTTTCAGATGATAGAAAAACATATCACCAACGCTGCTGTTCCGGAAGCTATATACGATAGGCTTCCTTTATTGACTAGAAATTATCAACTAGGTATAGGCATACAGCAGGCAGCAGATGTTGGTAGGCTGACATATCCAGCACTAAAGCCGCCGAAATGCGACAAAAATCGTTTGCTGATAAACGGTGACTCATCGTCAACTTCAACTTACGATCTGTCCTCTCAGCCTGAACTTGGTTTGATAGAAAGGGAAAAAAACTACATGAACGAATTTGAAGGTGAAAAATGGATACATTCTACAGATGATGATATGGAAGAAAAATTAACAGGAAATTGTGAAACTAAAGAAGATAAAACGGAAAAAGTATATGGAAATTTACCACTAACGCCAGACAAAAGTTTATACATGAATACCAAGCGCAGAGAAATGAATATTAGGAGTAAGAAGTGGACGAAGACGGATATCAATTCACGTGAAACGTGCGAAATATATTTAAGCTACATTAACGCATTCCTGGATCTCCTGGTAAAACAAGTTTACATTGGCGAAATTAAAGATGATGAAGATAATCGATGTAAAGTGCCTGCTATCGTTATCAACTCTATTCACGACCAGATAGCGAGAAACGAATCTATCGGAAAATTCTGCCGACAGCTCGGTATGGCGCCATCAGTATTTCAGGAACTCATCATGTTAAAAAAGAAATACGAACAACATGGAATACGAGATAATTTTGACCCAGGATTGGCAAATGATTTAACTATAAACTCATTGCTTCGATCATTGAATGAAGACAATGACAAGAACAAGTCTTTGCGAATTGCTATTGCGACCGTCCATGCTAGCCTGAATTCACACGTCGAGGTCAAAGGTGCTTTTACGCGAGATTAGGTACAATCAAGAGGCTAACATAAAGTCACCAATTTGTTCATTTGTGAACGAAGCAAAATTGTGTGAGTAAGAGAAGACTAAATGATATTAATTTGAAATTACTTCTATACGGACTGCCTATTAATGTCACCTTCCACAAACAAAGAAAGCGTGAAAAGAGAGACGAAAAACCGCGTCGGATCTTTGATGTTAAATGGACTTTATAAAAATGATTCTACTGACCAAGACAATCGATTCCGTTTGGTGCCATGTAGAATCCCTCTGGACAAGCGCAGTAGTACGAGCCGTCTGTGTTGATACACAAGTGCGAGCAGCCGTGGTCGTCATGACTACACTCATCTATATCTATTGAATAAATAAAATAGTGACAGTTACCAAATGGTCAACTTGTGGTCAGCATGGTTACAACAAACAACTTATTGCATTTTATTTACTGTAGGCCTCAGACAATAATCGACGGTATAAACTTTCGTGTCGTTAGTCATAATAATTAAAATCAACAGATAGTACCTAGAACGTATTCTAGAATACTAAAGAATTATAATTAATTTTTCAGTCATTACTGATGTCAAAATGTAGAGTATTGTAAATTGAAATCGACTGATAACAAATAAGTGCTAACAAAACGGAAACGGAATGTTTGTTTTTCTGTTTTTATTATCAAAACTCATAGCAGTAAAATATAACTGAATTGCGAGTAGATTTACAAAATGTACAAAATACAGGGTTTTTAAAAGATAAAATATCATTAAAAAGCAACAAGCGAGAAAATCAAAACACAGAGAAAAAGGACTGACACAGGGGTAAAAAATCAGCAACAATTAGAATCACGACAAAACGTACATTCGGAAAAGGACAAACAAAAAGACATGCGAGTCTAGCTGCAGTCTACGGTATATTTCCTTACAATCTTTGTTGAGTTGACAAGGATGAATGGGGCGTGGAGTTGAATGAAATGCGATAGAGGTCTCTTCACGTTACTATTAATTATTCTGTTGACGTACGTCATTATGTTATTCTGGACTACGACTAAATCAGCTAATGTTTACGTGTACGGATAAGGTTAGGCGTAATAGGTTGTTGTGGTAAACATTCTACTAAATGATATTTGAAAATCATACCTGTACAGTTACTACTATTCTCTGCAAATCGATAACCCCACCGACAGCCACATGCATAGCTGCCAATCAGATTCATACACGCATGCGCACAGCCTCCTTTGTTGATTCTACATTCATCTATGTCTAAAAAAAAGTAAAAAGTTAAAAACATGTAATTGCATTCGCTTGTGTAAAGTCGACGATAAGAAAATTCAGATTAGCCCCTGATGACCCAACGGCAGTTGAAGTAACCCCCCACTAGTCAGTACACCAGGGCAGAGCACGAACTTCGTTTTCGTGTTACACACAGTGATCAGTGACATAGTAACGTCACATCCAAAGGTAATGGCGATAAAATGACAACCTCCTTAAAAAATCTATCGTTACGTTTCCTTAAATATCAAATGACAAGAATTTATTTATTACAGTAGGTGTATTATTCAGAAAAATAATACATTTTTTTAAAGAGAGTTCGAAAAATTTCACTAGTTGAAAGATTGGCTGTTCCGTTCAACACTAGGCTCGACGCCGTTGAAGAATAATATAGCCTAACATCCATCTTTCAACTTATGAGAAAATGTTTTCATCGCACTCGTACATTTTTTTTATATAAATTTGTGATATGACTGAATAGGTTTATTAATAATGCGTGGCATGGTGTTGATATCTAAGCGTACAGCCGTGCATAGTTTGTATGATTCGTCCGATAAAGCCTGCCGCACACGAGAGCTATCTGCTTTAGCCAATTAGTGTCATTCGTGGCATTTGGCGTACGCACATAGCTCTCGTGTGCGGTGCAATTTCGAACGTTTTTTGTCATTCGTGGTGCTTACGCCAAATATTTATCGTGTTTGATTTTTTTTGGCACGCGTGCCAAAATTCATAGCGTGTGCGGCGACGGGCGAACAAATCTACTTACGACCCTTACGCATACTACGCATGCGTAACCATACGCCCACGTGTTCTATATTTCTAGTGCATTCCGTTTAATACCAAAATTACACAATTTTGAAAACCAGCCATGCAAAGTGGAACTGATTGATTGGAGTGGAGCTGATAGGTTGGTGGTTAAGATGCATGGCTTCCAATCACAGGGCCCTGGGTTCAAACCCTGTCAGATATTCTCACGACTAAAAAACACCTCAACTCCTTAAGCGTCATAAAGTGACTTAGTTCTAAAACATGGTCGTATCCGGAAATTGCGAATTATATTAGGGATTTATTAACTGTTGGGACATGAAAGAAATGAAAAATAATAATATTATTGACTTTTTAGTATTCCATTATTTTGTTAACGCGACAGGGTTGCTCAAAGTTTTTCAAATACAGTTTGTTGTCACTTTACCCCGTGCCTTGTAACTGGCATAAAATCGAGATTTTACGCCGTCGTCATGGTAATTGTCAGAGTGCATCTCAAGTCGTAAATGATTTCCTGTAGAAACAACTCCAACCGATTTCTGTGATCGGCAAAGTTTGGTAATAAGTGGCGATTCGTTGGTTTCCCCATCGAAGATTGATAGATAATCACTTCGACACCCGGTTGCACTTTCTATTGAAAAAAAACACACACAAAAAAATAAAAACAAAAACAATAAAACTGTAATCAAAGTGTAACCTATACAAATGAAGAGATTTCATTCTGCTTGAAAATGCGTCCGGTCCGGCCCGTAACCAGATTTAAGCAGTGAAAGTGCGCCCGCTGCATTATTGTGGACGTGTGACCCCTGTAACATTGTTCTGAAATAAAATCATAGGAGTTATTATTAAACTCTATGACTAAAATAAACAAACAGAGCAACCTGTTTTACATAGATGTGTAATCGGGCCGGCAGTTTGTTTACACACTAAATTAGCATAATAAATATGTTCCATTCTATCTCTTTGCAACTATCCTTTAAACATATGCCAATAGTCCAAAATATTATGTATTACTTCCATGTTTTTAAAAATGTATTGCAGTTTTTCATATATAGATTTGAGTATGTTGTCCGTTTGTCATTATTTATGGTATTCTACTTTTTGTAATTGAACACATACATTGATAGTTTGACGTACTAAATGTTCCAGGAAAGATAAACATATATTAATTGTATTAGTTATATTAGTTTAGTATTCTCACCGCAAACGCAATTAAAAACTAAATACGGTGAACTAGGACTAGGACACTATATTATAGCAGATCTAAGGGTCGGGTTGTTGCAATTTGCGTTAATACAGTAGGCCTACGTTTTTTTTTGCACAGATATAAGAATATTTTAAACAACCGAAGATGCCAGTACACCTCAATAAACAACGTTTTATGTTGTTTTTCTATTCTACATCACATACATACCGTATGTTCATACCTATTAAAAACAACCTACCAGGAACCTCCAATTCATCTATCCTCAGATTGACGAAAAATCCTTCGAGGAGAGATATTTTCCAGACGATTTTAGAGTTTCGAGGAAAGGACATTGGATAATGCGGAGTCTTCAGCACGCCTTCAAATTCAGTGTATTTGTAGTTAAATGCTGGAAGAGGTTAATGAAAAGCACATTAATGTTAATCTTGTTAGAAAAATGTTTGAAGTATATCACTGAAGTCATAAATCTACAATTCTCATCACTAAACAGGTATTAAACCACATCTCTAGCGACCTGCCGACAAATGTTCATTAACTTTTAAGGTGCAGTATGTCAACATTATATGTGCAGTAGCGATGGCTTGGAAACCGTATCAGGACAACAATAATTACTATATACTCACAAACTGTCTTAAAACTGGCATAAAACCTGACCGGAGCATCTAGGTTTATTAAGTGTAGTTTAATCCATAGTCCGCCGGAGTGTATTGTGATTGGGCCTGGGCTTACTTTGCCACAGAAACGTCCAATTAGGGAGCCAACCTCGCCAAAACCGTCACGAACTTCTACATAGCTATTGTTTGAACAGTTACCATCCGGCTTAGCTAATTTGAAAAAAATAATTGATATATATTATATGAAAGGCAGCAGTGATTGAACCAACTCATAGAATCTGATAAAAACATTCACTTCTAATTACCATCTTTCACAGAACCACTTCATTAGTAACCATAGACGTAATAATTGTAGAACATACGGTACCTGCATCAAAAGGTATGTTAACGAACGTATGTTCTGGGAATTTTTAATAGACAATAATTTGTACCGCCAGTAAGCCTAATTGATTAAATTGTGTTGTGTTGATTAAAAAAAAAAAAATGTAACAATGCGATGTGTCAGATGGGTTAATGTCAACCTAATGATATTTTTTTCACCTGGAGCTGGTAAATCTATGTCGTTTATCTCAAGCATCAATGCTATATTCTCCTCTTCGCCAGATATTGCCCACGCGCAGCTTGTGTTTGATTGGATCCGACTTGGGTAATTAGGTGATTTGATCTCACCCTCCATTTTGAACATAGTACCACCGCATTCTGCAAGACAAAAACACAGAGCATATTTAAAAACTTCTGAATTTCGCACTTGTAAGCTTTTTTTATAGACAGATATACGTTAAAAAAAATCAAACAGCCGTGTACAATTAAGCTGTGCTTGTGAGAACAAGAACATTTGTAGAGAAAAAAGGAAAGCGAGCAGCAGATTGCAAAAAAAAAAAAAAAATGAAGTTGTTACTTAATGATGCAAATACTCTACATGGAATACGAATAACTATAGCCAGATTATAGATCTAAGTCATAGGTGGTATTTAGGTGCTACTTAAAGCTTTCATTTATTATTAAAACACTAATAAAAATAAAACCAGAAAATAGAATCAGACTCAAATATGCAATGCCATCTAACTTTATGGTTACTAAACCTTGAGTATAACAGATAGTAAACTTTATACTATGGACTTAGTTCATGTAGGCCTAAGCTTCATAAGAAGAATTTTCACAGATGGAATATGAAGACCGAGCCCTCCTAAAAGAAATGAAAATAATTATATTAATAAAATAGGCTGTAGGTTACGTATTCTGATGAAGACATAGGCCTACTTAAAAATGACCATACAGCAGTATGAACACTAGTGGTTTGGTAGTGCAGAAAGATTTTCCAGAAAACGGCAGTGTTTGAAAAAAAAAGTGAAGGTGGGAGAGGCATGACCGAAAATATATATCAGGGCTTTGGCAAGCCCTCTATTTTTGTTTGACGATGGCTAGGCTCCTCTTTACATATTGATCTCTTATTTGTATATTATATCAACAACTGTTGGCATCTTTTAGCTTTGCAACTATTTTATCTTGTTAGTTTATATCCCTCTTGTGGTAGACTGCTTTTGGCCTACAGGCTCGGCGTTTGCGTCAATGTGCGTCTACTTTTTACACAACTGCAGATATCAACTGTGGTGGCTAGCGAAAAAAGCGTCGCCTGCGTTCCGACACAAAAACTTTACTTAACTCAACATCCCTATTAAAAATGATAAGAATCGATTCCAGTTTGTCTCATCATGCAAAATGTAAATGTATTTTACTTGCCTCACCTCCGACCTTTGTGCAGCGGTACATGAGGCTTAACTGGCGTATATCCCCTTCACTGAGTCGTTCTCGTTGACCTATGATTGCATTTTGGTCAACGGGGACAATCGTCCTGTGTCCATTGATGGTAAAGTAATAAGGGCCATAATGCATTATAGATCCATAGTCATACGGTTGACCAAACGAATTTATCTATTAAAATAAAGTGGAAATCGACATGGACATAATTTGTAATCACTATAACCCTGCTATAATGAATGATTTTAATTATTTCGACATTAAAATTTAAAAAAATGCAAAGTAGTACTGTGTAGGGTTCCAAAGACGCACTGGTGTTTAACCAATGTGTCATACCTGCTATGACATGCGTTTCATATACTGTACCTGGCATCTCACTAAAAAATAACAGAAATGCTGAATGTGACACAACAAGACATGGTATGTTACACATACTATGCTAGATATAGACATAATACCATGTGCAACAATAAGACGCAGAACTGGAACAAATGAAAATATGGTAGGCATGTTACAAAAGAAGTGGAGATGGGCAAAGATTGTGGTAAGAACAACAGATAGAAGATGGACCAGAAGCGTAAATGAATAGATACCCAGAGAAAGTAAAAGAAAACGAGTAAGACAGAAACAAAGGAGGACAGACGACTTGCGAACATAAGAAATATAGGTTTAGGTAAGGGGTACATTCAACAGTGGATGATTGCTGGACCCTGAAGTAATGTTGTATACATAGTTTGAACCACAGCCATTAGTTTGGTAACATGCCCAGTACATTCTATCAAGTTTAGGGTTAAGAAAACCTTTCAGAAGATTAGAGCCCTAGAATCTTGAATTATAAAGTAAGCCGCTAATTAGCTACAGCTAATGCAGGGAAGTCTGTAGCTTTCTGCATGTGGGAATGGCGTCGCGAGCAGCTTTCCGAGATGGATACGTGTGCCTTATAAGGCATTATTATAGTTATTATTATTATTACTAGCACCACTCTGCTGATTTTAAGTCATGTAATTATTATGGTTTCCTGTCTCTTAACCTGTTCATCTAAAAACTGAAATAAAAAAAAACCAATAAGGCACAAGACTTTCGGATATATAGTGAAATGTTGCAGTTACCTGATGTATTGTCTGCTTATGAAACTGGTTATTGCCATTTACGTGTAGGTTGTCGAGATTTATGGTGACGTGCTCGTCCCTGTCTGGTCGGCTTTGTTCGTGCCAGAATCCGACAAGATGGCCGATTTCATGAAGAATTGTGCCGAATGTGTCGCAGCCCGATCCTATAGAGACGATTTGTTTCCCACCTCTTCGTCCAACATTGGAACAACACCTGTTGTAATCAACAATAAGAGGTTGCACGGACCTCATATTCTTTAACACTATGCTCAACCCATTTTCAGGTGACATCCCTATTGGGGACACACTTTCTGGCCTCGAAGGTGTCCTCTTGATAAAGGTTTTACTGTATGTCTATGAATTTTACGACTCCCCTCTACCGACCCAATTTAACGAAACAGTTATCAATCAAAACTACTGAGTTGTCAGTATAGTAGGCCTACAATGATAGCTCTCGAAAATAGGAACTTTCAAGTAGGCCTACAGAGATTACCCACATGCCGTTTTCAGGTTTTTTGCATAACCTGATAACCACTATAAAATCCACCGATCAGAAGACACCCCCACACCCACCCCACCCACTCTTTACACTGATAAAGTGGATATCAGATAATAGTAAGATCAGTTGGGTGACCACGGGTAGGCCTAGTCTGTTTAGGTCTGCTTAAATGTATCCCACAAAAACTCCGGCCGCATAGTGGATTGATATTCCTCTTCAAACTGGGCTACGCCAAGTAAGAGTCGGCAGACTGGGACATGGGGCAGTACATGACATTATACAATTGCGGTAAGCGAATTTGTTTATCGTAGGTAAGTTGAGCATGCAAAAATTCATGAATAATTATTCATTAGAGTGTCTGGAGGCATTACTAGCGAATGCGCAATCTTGCTTCGCTGAACCTGCTGTATTTATTTGCAGCCCTTCCGACCGCAAATAAAACTAAGAAACAGACACACCGCAGAAAGGAAAACGCTTACACTGCATTGCATTATATTGTTATTTAATCAATGACGAAAAGTAAAGTTTAGAAATACTGTACCCTGTAAAATAATAGGTCAGCATTCTCGACTAACATAAGCTAGATGTAGTATGCTAGGCCCCATTTATTTGTCCTGTTTACTGTATTTTAATGTAAGCTTGCTTATAATTTATTACAGCATAAACCACGGAGTATTACCACCCCACACAAGGTAAATCCCACCGATGATCCAACCTTCGCTCACTGCGACGTGAAAAAGCTACAGCGAGCAAAGCCCAGCGAAACGAGATTGCGCATGCGCTAGTAATGCCTTCAGCCACTCTAATGAACGGTAATTTATTAATTTTTGCTTAACTTACCTACGATAAAAAAATTGCTTTCGGTAAACTCATGGACATAATATTATCATGACGATCCTCTAGATGGCCAGAAATGCTACTCAATGTAATTTCCCTTTCTTCCAAATTTGTTTTAAATAATAACGACCAAATGCTTTGAGTTTAATAAGTTCTATTCCCAAATACAGCAGAACTTACCCCTCTCCAACAGAAAAGAATACATAGTCCGACTGGTTTGTTCTAGGTACAAATGTCAGACAGGTGTGTTTTTCGTACGTTGATATAGCTTGTCGGATTAAAGTTTTTGTTTTATCTGCAAGATAACCAATACCAAAATAATAAAATACATTAAGTAACAGATAAGTATAGATGTCATAGGTAATGGCATTAGCTTGTACATTTTTCTTAATGACTGTATATGCACTTTAGCCAATTCACGTCTGTTAATATTTCTTTTAGTGAAACAGTCAGTTTTGAATATAAAAGCAAGACACAAAATGTGTTGTCATGTTTGTGTTTGTTACAACTCAACAATGTAACACAATCAATTGCATCATGCCGAGTGCATTGGTCTTCGGGTTGGTTATGCTAATCTATCATTCCACATGTCTGCATCACAATAGTATTAGCATTTACATTTTTATTTTAATGATAACCAATCTGCTTCTGTTTTCTAAATCTTTCTTTGTGAAACATTTCGTTTTGCCATGTTTGCGGCCTATATGACATTAGAAACAAATTATTGCAGATAAAACACATAAAAGTAAAAAAATCCACTAACTTCTTTCATGGAAATATATCGTTTTCGACGTTATCAGTCTGTAAAGACGGCCACAAATAATACACAAAATAACTTGTTACATGTACTCATCTAAATAAATGTACGTGTCTAGCTGAATATAAAGAAATATTCCTTCTTTTATCCATGTTTTGGGGGTTTACTTCTTTCTTACTTACTATTTCGGCATAGTTGATTTATTACCAATAACTTTGTTATTAGGAATTCATTAAGTTTATATTCGTCATCCTAACAATACATTATCGTTGAGGTAAAAATAGAATTTGAACATGCCCACTTGAAATATTACCCTGCTGCCAAAAAGGTCAAGACCTAACGACACCACAAAATAGAAACATTGACGGACGAATTTATCACCGAAAATTTTTGTACGGTTACGGTGATCAGCTGGAATTGGAATTATATTGTTTAGGTTTCAGTTGTACCCACTGATTGTTTTTTGATTTTTTAATTTTAGTAATATCTTAACTCTACATTGTAGTATAATGCGGTTGTGTGAGTGGTTTCATGTAAACTATTACATTAAGTTGAATTAAATATAATCACTTTATAACAATATTGATTGATTGAAGTTCCTCTTATAAACATTCAAAATTTCAACAAAGAACACAAAAAAGAAAGCAACTTAGATAAATCGCACAAAAAAATATTTTCATTGAGTTTCAAGTAATATGAAACGAACAAAGTTGCACGAGAGAATAAAAGTGTAAGAAAATTGATAATCAAGACAAGACATAGTAAAATTTAAAAAAAAAGTGGACAGGAGGAAGGTAAAATCAAAATTAGAATGAAGTTTTTAACCTATAGGCCTATAGTTGAAATCAAAATTCTGAAATTCAATTTTGTCATAATAGGACTAGGCCCCTACTGCAAATTACACTATAGTACCAAAGATTATAATCTAGGTAGTCTATTTCATTTGATTCGTACTGTGGTTTTATACCCATGTCTTGTTCATTGTTGATGACTTGGGACCGGTGCATAAAATAAGAACTAATAGTCTATTTCATTTGACTCGTATTGCGGTTTTATACCCATGTCTTGTTCATTGTTGATGACTTGGGACCGGTGCATAAAGAACTAAAATAGGTATGAACACTTTACGAAACAAAAAATAAAGATAATAAATACATACACTCACCTGAAAGATTAGGCCTATAAATTATGTTACAGATTAGAATTTGAACAGTACAATATAAAAACTATTTATTAATAGATGGTGGTTTTGACATGATGTAATACTGTAAAATTGTACATGAGGCGATATATTTCGAGAAAGGAATGTTTATATTGAGACTTTTATAACCTTTCTGTCTGTTGTTGACAGCTCCATCCATCATAAGCCTACACTTACTTTCTTTGAATGTTGAAAACAATTTTTGTAATGAAATAAAAACACATCTTTTCAACATATTTTATGTCACCAGTAGCATTCACAATAAGGACAAAAACCCCACTCTGTGAGGATCAGCGAACACTGTATCATTAATCTCTTCCAGGGGTAAAAAGGTAACGACCGACCAACAAATTCGTTACTCGTAGTAAAATTATGGCGTTGTAAATTTTGTGTTAAACAATGATGACCATAAATCTGGATACTTGTTCAGAAATACGAGGAATTCAAAAAAAAATGTATTCCTTATTATAATAGGCTGAATTCATCAAAATGTATATAAATCGGGTATCTATCAAGTTGTTATTTGGCGATAAGAGCGCAAAAGACTAATCAATTATTTTACATTTATACATTAATACAATTATTAGGATGCCCTCGTAGTTACTCTTACTACTATTTTTGCACTGTGTCGTCAAACAGAATTGATGATGATGATGATAATGATATTAATGATGATGATGAATGATGATGATGTTTATGATGATAATGATGATGATGATTATGATGATAATGATTATGAATATGATACTGTTATAATGCTCTCTCTATATCCTTTAGAGCAAATTACCAAATGTCCCAATATGTTAGTAATGCAAATACCAAATATTTTGGTGAAAAAGTTTCCCAGGGTGTGTCTCAGGCCTACTGTAGGGTGTTCACGTCACCCCCATTTAAAGGTATCACAATATCTTTTATTCGTGCTCTAATAACTGTGATCAAGTCGAAACTCCACTTTCTACATTGTTTCACTGCGGGAGAATAGGTCTTTTAATTCTTAAAACTGTTAAAAGCGACAACCGAAACCTGGCTGCAATTATGTGTCAAGGCATGTTAACAAAACAACGCCATATCGAAGTGTTTTGCCACTGCGACACAGATGTTTACGAATTCACACGTGTAATACAATAATTTTTCAAATGGTATTTTTTATGTAAAAAGAACTGCAAAAAAACTAAATATGATGTTTTAAAAGTTGATTTTCAAATCCATTTTAAAATAATAACAAATTAATTAATTAAAAAATTATTTAACAATAAATTGTGTCCGATGTGCAAACCATTGTTTTAATGCATCTTTAAAACTCTTGTATCCGTACTTATTTTCATATGAAGTAGGCCGACCGTGTCGGTTTTTTTTTCTGTTTAAGTGCACACAACTTCAGGTCCAGGCGAGAATGTGTGCGTGTACATCCATGGTCAATTAAATGTCAATAAGATTGGGAATTCAACACAAACATATATACACAAATAATCAAATTTCTACAACAAGAAAATAAACATATTGTTCTTACTATCAAACATTTGGCTAATGAGGTATGGGATTTCAGCGTTGGGCCAGTATCTGGATTTGAATGCCGTCACACCTCTCCGCTGGCGGCTAGCCCCGAGGAACTTGTCTAATCTTCGCCTCGGTCTTGAAGATACCTCTTCTTGATGAGGTCTAGGATCTGGAACAATGTCGCCTTGAAACATATCTGAAATTAATATACAATTAAAAGGAAATATTTGAAAGGAACTCTGATGTGCTACCGTTATCACATAACAATTCATGCCAATGACCATAATGCATTCCAGCTAATAATTTTACGTTATAATAACGTAGCAGTTTGGTGTTCAAAATGTTTATTAGTATGCCTAGATCTATACATTTGTATTTGAAACGTACTTTCTGACTAAATAACGTTGCAAATGTTCCTTCAACAGCGTGTGTTAACGTTATTTTCTAAAGTTAACTACAACGTTCACAACGTTTGTTGGGGTCAATTATAGGGCAACAGAATATCGAAAAGCTGTAAAAGTTGGAGGTAATGAATATTTAGCAAGTTTTCATTACTGTTTTACTTCACGTACAATAGGCATATTGGAGAAAATGTATAACTTAGACATCTGATGATTCGAAAAATAAAAACCCGTACACTATTTAACCTATAAAGTTAAGCTGCAACTCAGCTTTGCACTTTCCCCAGAAAAATGTAAGCATTTTTGTCCTCTTTACTTCCGTTATGCTTTTATAAGCACTTAGCGGTTTAATATAGGCCTACTGGTTTTTCTGAATTACTTATTGTAAGCATACATAACACACTATAATAGGTGCAACGTAGCATGTAAATAAAAAGGAACCATATTATTATGTGGCAGTCGACGCAACGTTGTTGGAGCGAGTATTGACATGACCAACAAACAAACTCGAACCCTAGTAGGATTTCATTAACAATATTATCATAAATATAGCCTAGGTATACTAGTAGCACAGTTGTCCGTACCAAGAAAACCTAGATAATCTTAAATCGGAATTTCAACTACCATCTAGACATTATCATCTTTCTAAGGACACCCGTTCTAGATTAAATAAAAATATAGGCACATGGCTGAAATAATACATTGTTACAAAGTATAGCCCAATAATGAAATTGTTACAATTGTCGGCGTACGTTAGGTCACATTCAAGTCTCGCCGGCCAAATGGGCTATAATTTTCAGCTGGACACCCCTGGGTAGTACTGTACCATGTGACACATTTGGCACCTGGTTTGTAGGGTATAGTGCATTCATGGTCGAAAACTTCAGCCGCGACTAAAAAGGACAGTAAAGGGGAAATGGTAACGTATGCTAAGATATAGAACGGTGTTACATTATTATACAGATTGGGACTAGTGTTTTAGTGGCCAAATGTTAATAAAATAAAAACATTAAACGTACTAAACATAGGTGACCTTATTCCTAGCAACAGTGCACCTGCCTTAATCAGTGTTCATGGCAACATAGGCTAACAGGGGCGGGTCCAGGATTTGAAAGAAGGGAGAGAGGGGGTTGTTAAATATATTTCTTTAAAAAAAACGCAAAAAAAGAAAGGGGGTCCGGGAAAATGTTGATTCCTAGATGGCCGGAGATGAGGTTTCCCGACTTCTGAGGTGTCTTTTAGTGACCTTTAAGTTCTTCAAAATTCAAGGTTTTCCCCCTCTTGAAAAAGGTCAGGTAATTCTACCTCTAGAAAAAAAAAATAAATAAAAAAGACATAGGCAATATATTATTATATTCCAACAATATTGAATAGTTAAATACGTAGTCTTTCTTCCATGGGTCGATGAACCGATAGGCATGAAGAACGCACTTTCGTACACTGCATAAATTATTCAGTCGTCAAACCAAAAATAAAATGTTTTTAATTTTATTAATATTGAAGGCTAGTTGAGCTAAAGCTAGATTGTCCAATCTGCAAACCTATGCCCAGGTAGGTTAACATGGCTTTTGTAAGCCAGGACCTAGTAGTATTTTGTTACGTTTCTTCACATTCAGGGGGTTCGTCCGAGCCCCCTGAAACCCCTCACCCCGCGCTTGGATCCGCCACTGGGCTGCGCCACTGGGCTGCTCTTGAATTATGCTACTCGTTAAAATATTATTATTTCAACCAGATTTGACATATAAAATCGATTGTATTTATTTATTTAAAAAAGACTGTCTGGATTCTTGAACTCGTCATTGGGAAGTCGAATGAGGAGTTTCTATCATTCCTAAATTTATTATGACGTAAGCTAGTTCACACAAAATACTGTAGAGAAACCGCTTTGTGGATCCATCGAGAGCCATAGGACTGACCTGCTACTAGTTAGGTTGCACGTGATATCGACAATAAATTTTAAGATTCAAGAATATTAATACGTCAATCAATGTCAGAAGAGATGATAGTTTAGCCGTTGTTTGACCTCCAGTAGTTGAATCTAGGACAGGGCAAGCTCGGGGCAGCGAGTGTCCTGTCCTGGCAAAACATCGTAACACATACATAACGAACTTAAGAAATGTATGATGCCAAGCAGGTGCTGACGGAGATTTTATATGAATCGGTAGGTCTAAGTATCATTAGGCCCAAGACTCGCGTTGACTTAAAACAAAAATGCTTAATTAAATGTTAGGCTCCGGTGGAAAACAATTGTTTGATATGATGTAGAACTATTTTTTATTAAGACACAAAAAGCATACTTGACGAAAACCTTTGGAACGGTTGATAAGATACTAAGATTTTTGAATATTTAAAAACTGGGGAAAAGGGGAGTACTCATCCCCTTTTCCACATTTTCCCCCAGTTTTTAAATATTCAATCATTAACCATTTCCGCATTTTTCGTCAATTATGCTTTTTGTGTGTTAGAAAAATCAGTTCTACAACATATAATTTCTTTTCCTCAGCCTAGATTTAATGCAATGCCCTGGCGGGAAACAAATAGGGGGAAAAGAAAAGAGGCCGTCGCCCGGCTTTCTTCATAGATTTTTGTTTATATTCAAACATCTGTATCTTAATAGCCGTTTCCGATTATTCCTTCAAAAAACCCTTTACTGTTTTAAACACACTATTTGTAAAAAAAAAAATATTATTTTTTTTTCGGAGCCTGGTTTTAAAATGTGCCTAAGCTACCTGTGATATAGGCTGAAATTCAACTAAATATACAATTACACACGAACTTTCTTTTGAAAAGTGTTCAATTAATGACGACAAAGATAAAATCAGTTCAGCTTGTACTGATTATAGTCCTTAACTATGAAAACCAAAACCACATTATTCAAAACCTTCAACAATTGAATATAAAATACATTATATCACAAACCTTATTAGGGCCTGTGATTATATCGTAGCCCATTGTTGGGTGGCATTGGAGTCTCTGGCTCAGAACCTACATTCAGTTAATCTTAGTTGAGGCTGAGAGGTGAGCAAATTTAAGTTGAGTCACATAAGAGACAGACTATATAGGATATATATCGTAGGATATATATCTAGTAGGATATATATCTTAGGACTCATATTTCCGACTAAAAAGTTGCTTTTTAATGTAAGTGATCAAAAGGAAGAATGGCCAGGATGGTTAAAAAAAAAAAAAAAAAAAAAAAACCAAACAAACAAACAAACAAACAAAACTAGAACACTAGTGGATAGGTGAAAATCAATGTCATATTGTATCTTATGACGGTACGGTATTCAAAGAGCGTGCTAACATTTACAATTCACCTTTTTATCTTTGGTAATGTTTTAATGAGCAATCAACGCAATATAGATTATTCTAAATATACTTGCAATGTGTAGTTGTAATCTAAAAATATAGGTCTATATCATCGTGTACGCCTAAAGTAGTCACAATACAAACACAGCAGCTCGTAGAGGAAAAAATCAATCGGTCTGGCCTCTTTGTAACCGTAAGAAAATACCAACGTTGATGAGAGTATAAACCAAGGTGAAACCCATGGCCAAATCCGATGCAACGAATATATTCATGGTTAAATACATAATACTTCCAACTGATTCATTACTTCAGTAATGCAAATACAATTGTAATTTTTGTCGGATTTCTTTCAACGAATTAACCTCAGGCAAACGGAATTGCCGATGGATATACGCCTGAATCCTTCTTTATAAATCTAGTTGTAAAAAAATAATGGTATCACATGTCAAATCATAGTATAATGATCTGATCAGAACGAGAAAAATCACAACGTGTCTGATTCAATCATTTTAGTTAAAATTGGTTGTGACAAGGAGCCAGAAATTGAAGAGAAATCCGAGACAGTAGCATTATATTGTTTGGACAACATTCAGTTTTCCAACAGTTGTTTAATAATGTTATACAGGTGATTTAAAATTGCACTTGAATTATGGATGAAATCAACATATTGATTTTAATCCTAATTCGGTTGAAACACAACATATATATCTCTCTTCAATTAAGATCGCTTTTGGGACCGGGATTTACATGATCTGTTAGATACGCAACTTCGGTTTTTAAAATTAGATTAATAAATAAAATAATATATAAAGATAAAAGATAGACATTCATGTGGGACTGCAAAAAGAGGCTTTAATTGGAGGTGACCTTTAATTGGAGGGGACAGGACTTTATTATCAGAACAATTTACTATTATATTTCCATCCATCCCAAACGAAGCCTAAATAAGAATAAGAAACAGTGAATTAAGGATGAGCTCATCGTTTGTGGCAAGGGTGTACGAGCACTTAAGGTGTGTAGGCCTAGAGCGTTACGCCACTAGAGGAAATATTGTACATGGGAACAGTGAAGTACATGAGCATCGTCACCATCATCATCGTTATATCAATATTGTTGTCCTTCTCCAAGTGCATCACTTTGAACTCATCATTTCATATGATGTAAAATGTTAATCGAAAATTGCAGAGGCTTCAAGAAGGTCAAGGAAATTTATTTTCGATGTTAATCGGACAGAACTTTATTAACCGAATGAGGTACTGTAATTGATTACATCTCACGACTTAGATATCGCGTCGTTTGGTGTTGATTTTCTGAAAACCAAAAGAATCACGTTTGTGCTCTGAAACAGCCTTGAAATCCCAGCAAATACTGTAATAGGAAGGCCTGCAGACAGACAAGACACGCCTTCAGTACCGTACAAAAAGAACCGGGAATAATACAATGCTCATATAAACTACCGCAGTCGATAATAAATTAAAATTCATTA